CCTTCTGCTGGGTATCTTTCCAAAAGAATTAAAAGAATCATATCACAGTGATACATGCACACCTATGTTTATAGCGGCACAGTTTGTAATAGCTAAAATTTGGAAACAGCCCATTTGCTCATCAGTTGGAGATTGAATAAAGAAGATGTGGTTTTTCTATAAAATGGAATACTACTCAGCCATACAGAATGAGAAATTAGATTCATTCATAGGAAAATGGATAAATATTGAGGATATATTCTTAAGCGAAATAAATAAGTCACACGTATAAATACCGAATAGTTACTCTGCTGTGAAAAACTATAATAGTACATAAGATCCTAGTGGGATAATTAATAGTGTGAAATAGGAAAGAAAGGGCTAAAAGTGTAGGGAAAGTGGGAAGGGTAGGGGAAAGGTAATAAGGGAAAGAAAAAAATAGGAGCAAATGAAAAATTGGAAATAAAGTGTTTGTAAATGGGGAAATTAAGAGTGGGTGAAGGGAGGGCAGGGACAAGGGGAAAAAATGAGAACCAAGACCTGTCATGTAAAGGTACAAGATCCCAATGATGAATGTAACTGTACTACATACCTAAAAGGTACCAATAAACTCAATGAGATAAAAAATAACAATAAAAGTAGAACATAAAGTACTTTAGTGCAAGAACCTTCATTCAATATGCAGAAATTGAATAGGAAAAAAGGAACAAAACAGAAGTCTGAGAGTGGGCAAAGATGTGTTTTACGTTGGCCTGGTCTTTCTTGAGTACAGTATACCCTGAATAGCTTGAACCTTCACTTTGTCTTGGCCACATTAATTTTAAAAAATGATCAGATTCCATGTACAATGAGGAAACGGAGAATACAAAGTTCATCAAAGGATACAAAATCTCACTCACAATGGACGAGAAATTTTAGTGATCTTCTGACCTGCATGGTGACCACAGTCCCTATGAAGTGTATCTTTCATAAATGCTGAATGTGGGATTTGTAATCCTATTCACAGCGAAAGAAACCATAGGATAATAAAGTGGGAGATATATTAACTAGATTGAATCTTTCTGCAATGTGTCTAGAGATCCAAACAGAATATGTTATTCCATGAATATACACAACTAAGGTTAAGTACTAAACGACGATATTGTATACCTGTAATCCTAGCATTCTAGGTGGCTGAGGAAAGAGGATCACGTGTTTAAACTCAGCCTAGGAAACTTAGTGAATTAACTAGACCCTGTCTCAGAATGTTAAAAAAACAAATTATAAAGGGCACCGGAATCTAGCTCATTAGGAAATCGCTGAGATCACTGTGCACACCATATTAACAATTGTTCTCTAATTATTGTGTTATGAAATATCTTCATTCTTTAATAGATAGATGCATGCAGAGTATTGTCATACTATTTTTATTAACATCTACTTGAAATAAAAAGAGAAAATGTACTTAAAAACAACAACAGCCACGGAAACTGCTTCAATTCTTAGTATTAGAAAATAAAATTTAGGAAAGGAATGTTCAAATTCTATTCATAATAAGATATCCACATCCTCAGAGGAGGTATTTAGTAGCATGTTGAGGCCATCTCAGTTAAAAGATTAAACATAAAACTTGTGAATGTTGCAAATTCCTGACAGCAGACCAAGGTCTGCACGGAGATGAAGCCCGTGCAAGGTGTCATGAGGGAAGTACAGACACAAGGAAATCCGGCAAAGCTTTGTTTGGTGAGATTACAGGTGACTCTTTTGTCTTTTTCAATTTTCTGCAAAACAAAACTACTCAGTTTTATGAAATGTTCTGGCATTTTCTCAGGCTGATTGTATGCACGAAAATCAGAATACAGTAATCATGCCAGGACGTGATATTACAATCCTCAGCAAATCATACCAACAATAACAACAAAAGAAAAATCACGGCAAGTCTGCTTCCAAGAACTGCTGCAAAAGGTATTTCAAACATTTGTCAGTGTGCAACAATAACCTGGAATTGTAATTAACTGAGTTGTTCTAAAACCATTTTATTAAGTGAAACATACTCTGGCAATAAGATCTAGCAATTTCATGTCTAAGGATTTTCCACAGGATATGCAAGTAAAAGTACACAGATGCAAATGTATAACAATCATCACACCAGCCTCGTATTCAAGGGTCAAAACTGAAAACAGCACCAATGGCCATCAGCAGATGGAGCCCGCAGGACTCACAGATCCTCCACACAATGGCGAGCCACGGCTCCACCACTGCTGAGAGGCAGCATGGGTGGAACACAGCATGGTGACACTGCTTGAATAAGACCTGCAAAAGAGCACTGCTATGGAAAGGTGACAGCTCCATGACCGGCACAAAAGGCAAACTGTCCACCAGGGACATACAGCACACGGTCTGCCTGGGGTGGGCTGACGGGAAGTGAGAGCTGCAGCCACAAGTTTCCAAGTGCTGTGTGCACGTGTTCGGCGTCCGCACTGGGTGACGGTCTCCACAGCCTCACAATGGCTTCCCTTTGCAATCACCGCCCCTGTCCTCCTCACACCGGGCACAGTACTGCATGCTACAGTGTGTGATTCCATTCAGTATCTGTGTATGAATAAGGAATCATTCCTACGCATCTGAGTGTTGAAACTTGCTATGAATTCTCTCCTTGATATACAGGGACTATAATAGGAAAGTTTTATATCCTTGAAGGAAACTGTTCTGGGCATTTGGGGAAAATCTCCATGCTCCCTTTTGCAACTGGAATGAAATTAAAATCAAGCCAGTAGAGAATATCATAAAACCTGACATCCCTAACCCATGACACTGAACCCCGAATCTTCAGAGAATGCCTGACACATCTTAAGCATCTACCTGTTCACTGCATTAAAACATAGAAATTCAGTAGTCTAAAATTGTAGACAGTTTTTCTAGGTTTTTCTCCTGGTCTTTTTAAGCAGTTAACTCCACTAGGAAAAGAGAGGGGCGCCGTAGGATCTTTTCATACGAGGGGGAGGCTCAGCTATGGACCTGAACATACGACCTCACTTCCTGGTGATGAGTCCAAACAGAACCTGGAACCCTGTAGTCAACTGGCACCACAAAGCAGCGACAACTGCCTCCCCAGTCACGTGGCTGGAGACAGTCATTAGAAAACATGCTGTGCTGCTTTCCAAGGTCTCAAGGCCGCAGGCCCAGGACCCAGAGAAGCGAAAGCACTGGGCAACAGGTGAGAGGATGGTTCACTCAGCCCAGACACTTCAGGACCCTGGCCAGGAAGTGCCCAACTGCCATGGGCTGCACAGAGCAGGTCTCACCAGCCCCAGGCCGCAGGGGCCCAGAGACAAGAGGGAGCCCAGGGAAGGTGTCCCTAGGCTCAGCCACCAGCAGCTCGGAGCCACTGAGTCCTGGACAGGTCCATTTATGCCTGGTTACCGCTGTGAGTTGACCTGAACTACTCCTACCTAGGTCACCATGAGTTAGAGTAGTGGGCAAGACAAGATCATTAGTTAACCTCCTCCTGGAAAAGAGCCGGGGGTCCCGTCAGACACCCACCCAGGAGAGGGCTGGCAGGAGGAGGGCAGTACCCTGCCCACAACAGGGAGAAAGCTGTAAAGGAGCTTGTGGGGAGCACAAGGTTATCTGGGTAAAACCTGTGTCAATGGTCATCTGGCAGGGCTCATGCTTCCTGCCAGCTGCTGGGCCCTGGCATAACACACTTCCACACACGACGCGCCCACGGAGCAGGTCCTTGGGTATCTTGTCTGCCCTGGGCCTGAACCGGACACTGGGGCCCCACAATATCAACTTGGGCCAGCTTGGGCTCAGGCTCTACCTGTGAGCAGGGGGGACTCAGTACTGAGGCCCGTGGAGGACAGAGAAGACTGTGGGGCCACACAGCACAATCAGCACCTCCCTCCAGGGCTTGGCAAACATCGGGCCTATGGTCCTGCTCCCAAAAAATCTGGGGTCCTCTCTGCTCAGCCTCTACCTTTGCCAGGTTCAGGTCACTGTCCACACATTGGTGGGAGAAGGAGAAAGTGACACAGATGCTGAGTCGCTTCATTTCCTATCATGTTGTAATTCTGCCATCTCACCTCTTTGTAATCCTAGACCAAGTGTCCCTGTGGCACTGCCCCAACTGTCCTCCCTCCCCCCGTCTCCAGCCCTTACACATCATCATAGAAGCAGCGCTGTGCTTACCCGACACATCAGGCCATGATACTTGCTCTATTTTTCTCTGGCACTTGCTGTCTCACAGAACTCATGCAGGCCCTGCAGGTCACAGGATCGGGTCCCCTGGTCATTGGATGAATGAGGCCTTGAACATAGCCGTTCGGCCTTCCAAGGACTCTATTTTTCTGGCACTTGCTGTCTCACAGAACTCATGCAGGCCCTGCAGGTCACAGGATCGGGTCCCCTGGTCATTGGATGAATGAGGCCTTGAACATAGCCGTTCGGCCTTCCAAGGCTAAGGCTGATTCTTTCCTGGGGACTTTTCATCAGAAACCTGGGGAACATTCTGTGTGACCTCATAAAACAAAGTGACGTCATGGAGGAGCCTCTGTCTTCTCATTTCTACACTGGGAGGTCAATGCAGGTATCTTGGGCTGTTGCTCTTCATGCATAGAGTTATATACAACCTCTCCTCCTCTGAGGAACCGCTCTGAACATGCGATGAGTCCTTAGTGTCTCTTGTAAATGCTAACTTTTAATAGGAGAATCCCTTTTCTTCTCTGTCCTTCCTGTAACCCTTTTGGCATGAGCCTGTGTGGACCATGTGGAGTGTGGTCTTCACCTCAGCTCCAAACCCTTTGGATCAATTTTTGGAATACTTATATCATGTGTCCAACTTTCTCTTCATAGAATGGAAATCATTCAGCTGACAGCCTGGCAGAGCTCTGCTCAGTGAGCACAGTGCAGGCAGGGCCGGCCCACACCGGGATGGAGCCCCTGGAACAGGACTTCCCGGGCAGGAACAGCAGGTGGGTATCATCAATGCGTGAATGCACATGAAGAGACACTGGGCGCAGACACTTTTCTAGGTACTAACCATGAGCTTAGAAGCAGAGCAGATGCAAACCTTCCCCTTTAGTGTTCCAGTGTTGGACGCCACAAGTCAGCCTGGGCAGCAGAACATGTATTGTTTACATCACAGTCGATGTGACAACTGCCTGTCCTCCCTAGATAAATACAAACTGTGCAAGAGGTGGCCAGAAAAGGCACAGAGACATGAGCCACACATCGCTGCATGAGCTACAGACTCAATGTGCACTGCTACTCACAGACTCTTACTGACCACACACCTCTCAGATATTTATGGAGCAGCAGCCCTGTGCCCTCGAGTCCAAGGACCCAGCACAGACCAATCGCTGTGCTCATGGAGCTGACCGGCCAGTGGAGAGGGCCAGAGAGACATTGTGTCAGGCTTCCCTAAGAAGACAGAGAGGTGCCACCCCACTAAATAAGGACTCCCTCACTTGAAGCCTTCTGTGAGCCTCTCAGGGCTGCCTGGGACTGCCTGTGCCATTGTGGATGGGGAGCCGGTGGGGCTGGACACTGCACAGACTAGGCAGGAGGCCCACATGTTCAGAGCAGCAGGTGCCCTGCACAGGTGCTATGGAAAGAAAGCCCAGTCATCTCAAGCTGCTACCTACCTTTCTTCCCCAGGTCCTCTTCTTCTGCTCCAGACTCCTCACTAGAGTGGAACTCCCAGATAGATTTCATCGAGGAGCTTCTCCTGGACCAGCTGGAGCCCCCTGAACTCCCGGAGGCAGAGCCCCAGGATGAGGAAGATGGTGGTATGAGTCTGTGTATCTGTGGGCCTGTAGGTAAGATATGGATCTTGAAACACAGCAAAGCTTTGAGCTGCTCAGGGGCCCAGTAACACTGAGACACTGGGCAGTCAGTGTGGGGATGCAGACTGGGAGGACTTCCTGGGGCTGTCTTGGTGCACACAGCTGTCTCTGGCAGGCAGTGGGTTGTGCCCCAGGAAGGAACATGGACAGTCAGTGATCTTTTCTCCTCTTGCAACTGCAGTGCCAGCTCTAGACCACGCTGAAGTCCCACCTGCTGACCTGGTGCCACCTCCACCTGCAGCTCCCTCAGCAGCTCTGGCCCCACAGCAGGAGCCAGCACCTGGAAGCCCTGCTCCACCAGCTGCAGAGCTGGAACTCCTGGCTCCACAGCAGGGATCCTCACTTGAGCTCCACCTGAGGTCAGCTCTTGACCCACACCTGCCGTTCCCCTGCCTTACTGATTTAGTTATTATTGTGCTGATTGCTGCACTTACTTCCCGGAGACAGGTCAATGATTGAATTAATGTAAATTAAATTTAAGATTTTATTCTTATTTACAATGATCCGCTTGGTGCATTCTGAGTGTGTTCTCAGTCATTTATGATGTTGTTAAGATTTAGTCTTACTTAAATGTTAGAATTGTTCACATTGTTGCAATTATTGATGTGGCATGAAGTGCATTCTCAGTATTGCACAACCTTCACCACTGCCCAGTTCCAAAATGTTTTCCTTTATTCTGCATTCAAAGGTATCTATTCCCACTATGCCTGAGAGTTCCTGGCCACCGTTTCTCTTATGTCTTTCCAATTTACCTATTCTACATTTTTCACAACACTGCGATCAGATTTCTCTTAGGCGATAGAGTCTTGGAAGAGTTGGATTCATCTGGGTTTGGAAAATTCTAGATGGATCGCATCAATTTCTCATTCATGTATTCATGAACACTTGGGAGGGCATCACAAAGGGAAGGAGGAATCTTTTAAAAGTCACTGATATCTTCATTGTTGTCATACTTGTGATCATGGCTGTATTGGAATATGCATGTCCAAATTTACCAAATCCTACTGATTAATTTTATTCAGGTCATTTATATCTATTCCACATAAATCAACCATTAAAACATGAGGCCCAGCAGAGTATTTCGAGAAAAGTCTACCAGCCCAGAATCGAAAGTCTACTTCAGCATGGGGCATGTCCATTGCAGTCTCCTGCAGTTTATTTCCACACACTGTCATGAACATGCCCGTTCACCCTCTCTTCCTTAGGACACAGTAAATGTGCATGAAGTCTGGCTCAGCACATCACCACATGTAAGATATTTCTTCCCCAGTAGTTGTGTCAAGTAACAAAGAAGACACAGGAACACAGGCAGATTAAAAATAATGGGGTTTTATGTACATAATGACAGGGAGGACAAGAGTGGCCATGAGGCAAACAGGTGTGGGCAAATGAGCATTGAGAAAGAGCAGTGGACATCAGCCAGGTCTAAGGTACCGAAAGCCAGCCCAGAACTCAAACTCACCAGGTTCACGTCTACACCAGGGAAGGTGGTGATGATTAAACAGCTCTCTCTTCCTCCCACAGAGGGGTGTCTTCAATCTGAAATATTTTTCACTGGGATATAGACCTGTTCCTGGGAACCAGAGTGGACCTGCCAAACCCAGGTTTTATCCTTCTATGGGAGTTGTAGTTGCCGTGATTGTTACTGGGCCGGGTGGGCTATTGGCAGAGGCCAAGGTGTTGCTCCTGCAGCTGTTCATCCTGGTTCTGCGTGTGATGCCATCACTGCTAGCAGTGCCATGATTGGAGTCATCTGTAGCATTCACAGAGGCCCCTGACCGATTTCCCCCATGCTATATGTGGACCAGGCTAAAGTTGTCACCCCAAGGGCCAGGCACTGTAGTGCCTCTGGGTGCTTGGGCATCAGGAGAAGTCAGGCTGATCACTGGTGCAGAGCCCACTGAGGTTCCACAAAGAGTGGGCATATTGCTTCAGATTTGGGATCCCCAGTGTAGGTCAAGTGGCAGCTTCTGGATCCGATGGGTGGTGTAAAGTTGCCTGGGGTCCTTGAAGGAAGTGGGCCTGTGAAGTGGCATAGGCTTAAGGCAAGGCAGTGCTGACATTGGCTCAAAGCCCAGGCAATACCCCACCTAATGGGCTGTAGTTGACATTGTCAGTGTGAGGTGACTCTAAGATGATGACCTTAGAAGGAGGGATTGTATCCGTATCACCCAAATCAGAGGCTGTGTGGATGGTGATGGTGCAGAGGTGGAGAGAACACCACGTGACCCTCTGGCACCACGCTGCTCAGCAAGAGAGCACTTCCACACTACAGGGCTGTGTGTGATTCTACATCCATGGGATATTTGGGAACTGAGGCCCGCAGCGGATCACGGCTAGGGACAAGGCACAGATCATGGGCAGAGTACCCAGGAGAATGGAAAAGTTCAGAGGAGAAACAGCTCCTAGCAAAGGACTCAGCCAACTTCAAGGCTTTGGAGGAGCAGCCCCCAAGATCGGGGGGCCCTCATGAGAAGCATTCGGTGGGGAAATAATTTCAAGCAGCATCCCAAAGGGTACATACACACCTATAAACATACACACACACATGAACACACACTCTTGCACTCAGTGACATCATAGGTGCAACACACGAGGTAGTTCAGAGGGAAAGTTCCCTGATTTCTTTAATTAATCGCTATGCCTAAAATTCTCACCTTGTTCCTGGGCTGAATGAGCCCTGGGACCTGCACAGAAAAGGCCAATATGTTACTTGCCATCTAGGAGCTCACAGCCTGGAGGAGGAGAGGGACAAAGCCCCAAGGAATGTAGTGGAAGAGATGACTGAGTGCTAGGTTACCTAATAAAGCAGTGCCACACAGAGGGCTGAGGCCACCACATGGGGGCAACTGAAAAGGCCTCCCTGAGGTGACACTGATGCCTGTAGCTGATGACAAGAGGGACCTAGTCCTACCCAAGGCTGGGAGTGTGTGGCAGTGGCCAGGGATCAGGGGTCTGGAGATTTAAAATCAAAATTGTTCTTAAGTCAGAAAAGAGGCGAGAAGCGGGCACCTTGTGCCTGTAGAGAATCCGGGAGGAAAGGGAGGAGGGAGAGACCAGAGCAGGGCCCGAATCGGAGATCTGCTATAGTGTAGCAGTGACTCACTTATGTATGAAACACGCCTTCAAACGTATCCCATGCAACAGGCCAAGTTTGGTTCTCTCAGAGTTTCTGTGGAGCAGGGATCCAGGCTGCTTTCTGGGGAGGTGGCTTCTCCCATGAGCAGGAGGCTGTGCTGTAGTTTCAGTGGATGTGCCCTTTGTGACAGAATCTGCTCTAGGGTTCTGTCATGTGGTTACAGGCAAGACTCAGTTAGTACTGAAGCCCACTGTCTCCTCTGACTCAGTTGCTATACAAGGAAATTTTTACTGGAAAACTCAAAGCTGAAAATAAACATACACACATAGAGAGAGATAGAGACAAAGTACTTTAAAAATAGGATTATAAATTGGATCGTAGCTTCCGATTAGCCTTGAATTTGTTCAGTGGTCAACTAGCACATCTGGTTTCAAAGTCAATAGCATCTGATTAGGGATCATTCTTCACTGGTTGGCTTTAAATTGTCTTATAAGCCCCTGTACTGTCATTTAGTCTATGTCTGTGTTCATTTGCTCAATATAATGATGTCAACCCTGGGTAAACATGTTATACTTGTGTTTCCCTAGGAATCACACCCACTTCCCTCTTTTTAAAGATGTTATTTTTGAGCCTGGGCCCCGGTGCACAGCAGGAAGCAGAGCCACACCTTCTCCCGCCCCAGCTGCCATCACTCCAGTGCCAGGAAGGTAGCCTCGAGGGTGCACCTGAACCCCCATAACTCCCCTTCCCCCCCACCCCGGCACTCTCAGACCTCCTGACTGTGCCAGTCTTTGGAGCCACTCTGCGGAGGCAGAGGTGGTCATCAGGGGTATTTTTCTGAGTTCCCAACTTTGAACATCTTTAAAGAAAGGGTGTGGGAAACCTGTAATAGAACGGTGTGGAGTTCAACCATTCATACAAATGACTTAAAAAAGCCGTTTGCAGAATTAATGACAGAAAACTTCCCAAACAGAGGGGAAGAATTTGACATTCAGAGAAGTGAGGCATATAGGACCTCAACTAGCTACAATAAAAAAAAAATCTACACCTAGACATATAATAATCAAGATCCCAGAAACCCAACAGAAGAACAAAATACTACAAGCAGTAAGAGAAAAGAAATAAATCACATGCAAAGTAAAGCCCATCAGAATCACAGCAGACTCTTAGGGCAAAGAGAGCCTGGATTGAGATATTTCAAGCACTAAAAGAGAACCACCTCCAACCTAGACTGATGTACCCTGCAAAACTCTCTTTCAAAACGGATGGGGAAATAAGACACTTCCATGACAAAGAACACCTGAGAAACTACGTGACTACCAAACCAGCACTACAAGCAATTCTAAACAAGATCCTAGAAAAAGACAATGAAGGCAACAACACCATGAGGCCCAACAGAGCAAATCAAATAGGCAAGGCAAGAAACTAAAAGGAGAAGGGGAAAAAGTAAAAAGAGTCAACAAAAGGCCAATAACATGTCAATAATAAGTCAGTACGTATCAGTTATAACCAGCAATGTCAATGGCCTTAACTCACCAATCAAGAGAAATAGACTGGCCAAATGGAACAAGAAGCAAAATCCAACAATATGTTGTACACAAGAAACACAACTAGTGCAAAAAGAAGCCCATAGACTGAAAGTGATAGGATAGAAAACAATTCTCCATGTGACAGGAGCCCAGAAAAAAACAGGGGTAGCAATATTATTTGCAGACAAAGCAAATTTCAAACCAAAACTGATTTTAGTATTATTGTTGAAGGAGCGTACTGTATCATACCTCTGTGAATGTAAAATATCTTGTACCTGCTTTATGATACATAGTAGTGACCATGCTTTATCAGAGCTATATGTAATGATATTACTCTAGAATGATCTCTTTCCAGATGATGATTAAGATGCTAATAAAAAAAATGGTACCAGGTACCACAACAGCAACAGAACTTCAAAAGAAATAAAGATGTTATTTTTAAGAATACTAGGCATACCAAAATTGGAAACCCTGGACCCATTAGAGTTCATTTTGTGGAATGACACCGCCACCTAGTGGCACATGTTGTGGGAGAACAAGCTTCCCCCAGCAAGCACAGGCAGGAGTTTCAACCTCATGAACCCAGCGTTGGGTTCACTGGTCCTTAATTATATGCATTTTAAGCATATTTACTTATATTAATTTAACAAATAATGTTTATACATGATTATACATTGTACAAGTCATAGAGTGCCAATTCTCAAAGAAAGGCGTTATCAAAGTTATACTATACCGTCCTTTAAGAACACAAGTGCTAGTTCCTAAATATCTGTTCTCAGTGTTTGATCATGGAAAAGAAATCTATGAATGCATCGATGGTCAACATCATCTCGTCTGATGTGTTCAAGTAGGTACTAGAAGGAAGACAAAAAACAGACCGATGATTTTTCTTGCCCTAGGGGAATGTAGGAAATGATCGGGTAATGGGACATTTATTATGAATTCATACCTTAAACATCACTATGGATTAATCCCTGGGTCCTGTATGTGAACCTGTGGAGAGAGAAAGAAGAAAGACAGGACAGCAGCTCCCAGTCCCCTCTAAGAGGTAAACCAAGCAGCCAGTCATCCATTCCTGAGAGTTACGGGGATAAATACGGGTGAAAATGATAGAAACGAATCCCATGCCAGGTCCCAGGGAAAGGCTTTTGGCTGAGGGGTGTAGAAGTTTGCTCTTCCGGTTGGACTGTGAAGAGTGGGCTGAAGGGGTGGATGTCAGCATGAGGAGAAAGAAGAACGGGGGACGTCCCCTGGCCACAGCCTCCGGGTCTCAGACACTCACGTTTATGGAAAAGGTCCGGATTAGTTTTTGCTGTAAATGTGATGCAGGGAATGTATAGAACCACCATGGGGTACATGGCTGGAGGAACCACAGGGGGTGCTCACAAGAGGTGGGTGATCACAGCCTTCCTGGTGGCTTCTCTGGTTCTCTGTTGTCAGTTTGCTACTTGGTGTCCTCCCTGGAACTGACCGAGAAATGTTTCCAAAGCCTGAGTGGTGAACTGCCTTGCCAAACAGTCCTGGTGTCCTTTGGGATTATACAAAAGTCCTTGCGCATCCTGCACCTACCTCCTACCCAGGGCGGCTTTCCTCACTCCCCTTTTCCAGGAGGCCCTGAACCTCTTAACCTCATGATTTCTTCCCCCTTGAATGTATATTCACTCCTTCCTTCTCTCCAGATGACCTTTTCCGTTCTTTTCCACATGAATGCGTCCTTGTCCATAATTAAGTCTCTTTCTTCTGTCCACCCCTAGCAGAGCCTCCGTGGACCACTGCATCTGAAGCAGCCTACTAGGCTCTGTCAGGCCACTTGCTTCATTTCTGCAGCTCGTACTTCCCTGGATTTGTCTCATTTTCTTATGCTTCTGGGCTGTTTGCTTGTACTTTCAGACCTCATATAGCAGCAGCTGCATGTAGGAGGCAACTGGAAGCTTCTCCCCACTAACTGAAAGTGTGAAAGTTGTATCGCGGCAAGTGATTAGTAACTCCCAAGTCCTGTAGTAGATGTCAAGGGTGTCCAATCTGGGCCCTGCCCTCAAAGACTGGGCTGTCTCATCCAGAAGCCAGACACTTATGTGAGCAATGACAATAGGTGAAACAATGGGAGGGTGCATAAGTCTAATTACATAAAGCACAAATTCAATCCTCGGAAGCCTTTCAGGAGAGATGGCTCTGAGGTTGCTGAATTGTGTGAGTGCCACAGAGGAGCAGCAGGTGCCTGCAGGGCAGACTGAGAAGTGCAGTGAGGAGGGGAACAGATGGTGAAGGCCAACCCCTGTGTCTTTCTCAAAGTTAACTGTTCCTCCTAACTCCTAGAGACTAAAGAACACTTTTGTGTTTTGAAACCCTCCATGAAGGAAAGTTTTCAGTAGGTACTCTTTTCATGTCTGGTTTCATTCACCAAGAACTGTGGCTGAGAGATATACCTATGTGTGTGTAGCTCTAGTTCATTCATTTTTTTATCCCCATATGGTGTTTCAGTACCCAATTTATTTTACACGCTGCTATTGATGGCCGCTTGGGTAGCTTTGTTCTGGAGGCTATGAACATTCTTGTGGTGTATCTTTTGGTTCACAAGTGTTTGCATTTCTGCTGGCTATTTCTTCTGCATGATCCCAGACTTTGTGTCCTTGTGACCTGAGTAGTTAACACTAAATTTTTGTAGTAATTTACATCCCAAGGAGTAATGTGGGACAGCCGTTGTTTATTTATGTCTTTACTAACTCTTGGGCTGTCTGTCTTTTTATGATGACCAAAGAAACTGAGCCTATTTAATATGTGTATGGATTGCATGCATGTGCCCTTCTGAAGTGACATGGATGAGTGATATACGAGACTCTCACACAAGTTAGGTCTCAAGAATCTCCTAGGAGAAGCTTTCAAGTCCTGTGTTAGGGAGTTGGATGTGCGGGAGCCTCAGGATTTTCCATGAACTCGACAGGGAGGCCGGAAAGTAAAATAATCTTTTTTTGGTGGAAATATTCACTTTGTCTCCCAACTCGCAGAGATACATGCTATCCTTTAAGGAAAGCAAAACAAAACAAAACAAAAACAAAAACCTCCAGGTAAAGCCTGCAAAGCAACACAGGGGCCTTTAAAGCACATATCCAGGTCCAAGGCAAAGAACCGCCTGCCAGAGCCCCACAGATTCTGTCTTCTGTCCACATCCAACCTGATTTCACAAAGGAAATACTCAACATTAAATTTAGCCAGAGTATATGGAAATTAAAGTGAAGTAAGTTAACAAGAAGAACCATGAAAGACGTGTAAGATAGGCTAATCCATGTACTTTCGGAAAGGATTTCTCCCCTCTTAAATTAATCTCTCTTTTTGAGGGGTACTGGGAATCAAACTCAGGATCTTGAGCTTGCAACACAGATGTCAGAAACACTAAGCTAACCCTCTGGCCTAAATTCATCTCTTGCTATTACGCTAAGTCTGGGTTTCTTCTAGTGGCCTTTCAGCTTCGCATATTCTATTCATCTTACCTTTCCTGCTCTCCACAGAACTTTAGAGCCACAGGACCTCTGCTCTTGATACTCTGAAAAGTCTTCACAGTCTTTGCATCTTTGATGATACCTTCTCCATCCCATATGCATGGTAATCATTGACAGAAGCCAGGGAAGACTGAATGAAAGC